TGTTCCTAATGTGACGCCTTAGATAATCATCTAAGGACGCGGCCTAAAATCATATGATTGAGCTATATTGTGGATGATCTGCTTCGTTGAACTTGATCTACATATTCTAAAAACCTAACAGATCAAGTTTGAGGTGAACCCGTCGTCGTTTGATCTTCCATCGAGCCATGTGAAAAGTTCTATTCATTCGAAACCGTTGAAATTGATACGAGTGGATGAAGGGTCAAACGACGACGGGTTCAGTCCAAACTTGGTGTGTTGGGATTTAGAATATGTAGATCAAGTTCAACGGAGCGGATTATCCATAATGTAGCTCAATCATATGATTTTAGACCGTGTACTTAGATGATTATCTAAGGTGTCACCTTAGAAATAATTTTTTCATACACACACACACACACACAGAGAGAGGGAGAGAGAGAGAGAGAGAGAGAGAGAGAGAGGAGAGTAAAGTTGCTATAAACTTAAGTTGATAAGAGCCCTTTGTCCACCAACATTTTTATCCATTGGTTTTAAATTGAGATTTGTGTTAGTATATAATACAAATGAAGACAAATCTCAGAGATAACATTGATGCGTAGCATAAATTTCAAAGCATAATGAAGATATAAAAAGTTTGGTGGATAAGTGCTCTTATCCAATTAAGTTTATTGGAACTTTTCTCTCTCTCTCTCTCTCTCTCTCTCTCTCTCTATATATATATATATATTATATATATATATATATATATCATGATATATATATATATATAATATATATATATATATAATATATATACTATATATATAATATATATATATATATATATAAATATAATATATATAATTATATAGTAATATTTAATACAGGAGTGTGTAATATATATAATACCACACAAACACATCACAAGTGTATGTATTTAATATATAGTATTATACTATATATATATCACATGTGTGTGTGTGTGTGTATATATATATATATACACACTGTGTATATATATATATTATCATATATATATATATAAATATTATATATATATATATATATATTATATATATATATATATATATAATATATATATATACTATATTATATATTATATATATATATTATATATATAGTTACTATATATTATACTATACCCTTAACTAGTTAATAGTATCATCATAGGATTGATTTCTGCTTTTTGAGGTCATATGTGGGCACAATCTCCCATCCAATCCTCAATAAAGTAAGGAAGACGCGGGTGGTAGTGAGTTGGGAGGATTTGTGGCATATTTATGAGGATGGGGTGGGAATGTGACACATAAGGCGACAATGAGGGAAATCTCGCTTCTATACAAGATGATACCGCATTTAATCTCATATATATATATATATCATATATATATATATATAGTATATAGTAATATAATCTATATATAGTATATATTAAGATATATAAGTATAATATATATATAGTATATATATATATAATATATATATAATATATATATATATATATATACTAGTTGTTGTCCACTTAAGTGGATATTACTTTTGCCCTACCAAGTTTTCAGCCGTTGGATCACCTAATAGATTAAAATCTGGTTAAGATGACGTGGTATTGACTTGTTAAGACAGGGTATATTGGGAAAAAAAACTTAACGCGGAAAGCGTACAAAATAAAGGATTGGGATCCTCTACAAAGGCATAGTGTCTCCTAATATCTCCTAATGCATCTTAACCTTTCATTGCATATTACCTCCTCGTATTTTGTGCTTTATGCACAAAATGAAAGGTGGAGATGCATTAGCAGATATTAGGAGGCACTTTGTCTTAGTAGAGGATCCCAATCCCAAAATAAAGAAGATCGTGCCTTTCGTCTTCTTTGCGACTAGGTTCTCCGATGCAAAAGTCGGACTTCTCGACAGAACCTGGTAACGCACAATTTCCATGTTCGGGATTTAGCCTCAGAGCAATTGTGAGGAGGATTCTACAGTAATTAGGGTTATTGGTGAATGAAATCAAGAGGGAGTTAAGCGATGCGAAGGAGTTCCCTCAGCACTTTTCATCAAGGTTTTAAATGTCGACCGACATGTCGCCCGACATGTCGGTTTAAGGGCTTAAGCGACACGACATGGACGTTTTAAACTCGTATATCGGTTTTCAGGGCCAAGTCAGAAATATCGGGGCCATAGCGAGCATATCGACCGATTTTTCAGCTTTGAAAAATCGATCGATATGATCCTTTTTTAGATCTATTTTTTGTTATCGGGTTTGGATTTAGTAATAAAAACTCAAACCCGTTTGACCTGTTCTCATGTTCAAGGGTTTCTTATTAACCCGATTGAAAAAAATAAAAAAATTAGGGCTGCAGTGGACTTAGGAACCCATCACTCCTTTCGTGAATGACGACGTCCTTTCCCCATCTCAATCTCAGCCCCCCATCATCCATCTCTCATTGCATCCCAAAATCCAAACCCCAATCGAACCCAAGGGCAGCAGGGTATCCCGTCGTCGTGATAAAGGGAAGAGGGTGGTTAGTGACTCATCCGAAGGACCCCGAGCAGACAAAGAAGAAGATCCCCGACACTGCCTCCCTACGACGTCCCGTCGTCGGCTCTGCCTCCCTGCAACGTCGGAATCCACCCATCGCCGATGTCATCTCTAGAATTTATAAAGTATACTTATATTGAACTTAGGAATGCTTAGATTACATTTAGAACATGATATTATACATATGAGAACCACCCGATATGGCAATCCAATATTTAGTCAATGTCCCCCGATATATCCCCGATTTCCGCTATCCGACATGGATTTCAGCCGTCTGATATGAACCCGACATCCGACATTTAAAACCTTGCTTTTCATATAGTTTGGAGTAGAGGAAAAAGAGGAGGCATTTGATTTGTGAAGATAAAGGAGTATTGTTTTCATTGCTAGCATTGTTGAAGCCGAATGGTGAATTATTTTATTTTATTTTATGTTTTTTGAGAGCTGAACTGTGTATTTAGAGATAGGTTGGAGTAGAGGTAGGCGTGGGTCGTGTCGGTTTAGGCCCGTGACCCGGCCCGCTGGGTTCAAGGCCAGGCAGGACCTAACCCGGTCGTGTCAGAGTGGACTGGGTGTATTTCTCTGATCTTGGTTCTAGAACTGGATCTAGCTCGACCCACAACCCGTCTAGGTGTGGGTTGGGCCTGATCCAGCCCACATCCCATGGATCGTGGGTCGGCCCATGAGTTTTTCATCTAAAAATTTCCCTACTTTTTACCTTTTTAATGACATTAAATTTGCGTTTACAATTATAAAATTATTATTTATTTATTTATTAGTAATTTAAATTTGTATTAAGTTATTTTTTAAACTAGTATTAAACTGGTTAATCCTTCTAAGTAGATAGCAACGAGCTTAAAGATCGCTATTTTGTTTCAGCTCTTCTCTTTGCGGGTGGATGCCCAGAGGGAGCTGCTAAAGTAACTGACACCGGTTAATCAATAGTAGTGATATCCACATCCTAGCCCCCCTTGTTATACTATGCATTATGCTCCTCGAAGCAAGGAAGTGAGAGCCCCAGGAAGAGCAGATAGGTTGTTTGTGAAAGAAGGGCTTGTTCTCGAATAAGTGGGCCAAAAGGCCCACAATCCAAATAACTATGGCTTTTTGGCTTTGTTGGCAGCTAGCTGCAGACCCAAAGAGCTAAAGGAAATACTAATTGC